CTCAAATAGGTCAGTCTCATGCTGCTTAAGGTAATCTATCATAATTAACATCTTAGACTCATCTACCCAAGACCAGTGGAAAGATAGTGCCGCTGCTAAAGCTGGTCAGGTTTTTGTCAGTAAGAATCCATGCAGCAGAGATGGTTTCTTTGCTTCACTCTAAATGTCTGGCTTTGTTTCAGACACCAAAGCAACAAGAAACAGTGAGACATGGTGACAGCATCTGCTTCCAGGAAAACCAAGGTGCACTCTTTCTCAAAAATGGCCTCTGAATCCTTTGTGTCTCTCTGGTCCACCTGTCATGCCTCTCCCTCTTTCCCAGTGTGGGAATCCAAGATTAACTAAACTGTGGTCTGCAGACTTTCCTACTCTGTGTGAAATATCTACTTGATTTTGAAAGGGTAAATATTTTGCCACCTGTGTTTATCTTTTATTTCCTCAATCAAGATCATATATTATTCTTTTTTCAAATCTAGCTCATTGTAAGGCATGCATTTCTCACCTATGTAGGAGGCTGTAGTTGAATAAGAATCTTGCCAGTAACCACTGACAGTAGAACTTCTTTATTATTCATAGAATCACAGAATACCAGGTTGGAAGGGACCTCAAGGATCTTCTGGTCTAATCTTTGTTGGCAAAAGAACTCTCTAGACAAGATGGCCCAGCACCCTATGCAGCCGAATCTGAAAAGTGTCCAGAGTTGGGGAACCCACCACTTCCCTGGGGAGGTTATTCCAAGAGGAATCTCCCCAGGAGTAACTTCTTGTACCCATTACCCCTCATCCCTTCCATGTGACCCCTCATAAAAAGGGAGTCTCCATCTTCTTTGTAGCCACCCTTTAAATACTGGAACACAGTAATAAGATCTCCCCTAAGCCTTCTTTTGTCAAGGCTGCACAAACCCAGCTCCCTCAGCCTTTCCTCATATGACAGGATTCCCAATCCTCTGATCCTCTTTGTGGCCCTTCTCTGGACCCTCTCCAGCTTGTCCACACCTTTTCTGTATAACGGGGACCAAAACTGAGTGCCGTATTCCAGGTGTGGCCTGACAAGCACTGAGTAGAGTGGGATAAAGACTTCTTTACCTCTGCTGGTGATGCCCTTGTTGGTGCAACCCAGCATCCTGGTGGCTTTCTTCACTGCAGCAGCACGCTGTTTGCTTATGTTGAGCTCGTTGTCCACCAGAACCCCCAGGTCCCTTTCCAGAGAGCTGCTCCCCAGACAGGTAGATCCCAGCCTGTGCTGCACTCCTGGCTTATGTGTTCCCAGGTGCAAGACCTTACACTTGTCCTTGTTGAACTTCATAAGGTTCTTGTTAGCCCACTCTTCCAGCCTATCCAGGTCTTCCTGCAGGATGGCTTTCGCTTCCAAAGTGTCCACTTCCTCACTCAGTTTGGCTTCACGGCACACTTGATCCAATCATCCAGATCACTTATGAAGATACTAAACAGTGTTGTGCCCAATATTGATCCCTTGGGGGTGCCAGTTTGAAAAGGAGCTATTTCCCAGCACCCTCTGGGTGCAGCCTGTAAGCCAGTTCCCCTTCCCCCCAACTGCACAGACCACTTGTCTAGACCGTAACACATCCGTTTCTCTAGGAGGAGGCTGTGGGGAACCATAGTGAAAGCCTTGGAGAAATCCAGGTAGGCAATGACCACCGCTCTCCCCACATCACCTGAGCATGTTACTTGGTCATAGAAGGTGATTGTGTTTGTCGAGCGCTATTTTGAATGCATTTCTTAAGGTCATAGACTTTAGATTTACTTCTCAGGTATTGAGGTGATGTTAAAAAAGATAAGAAAATGATGTAACAACAACAAATTTACAAACTGCATTTTGTGCCTTAAATTACCGAATGTTGTAAAAGAAGAACATCCTGTTGTAAGAACAAGATAAACACATGTGATAGTTCCCCCAAGTACTCTTCCAGTACTTTAAGCTGAGTGTTAGGGCTCTTCCACTGTGCCTTTTTGGTTATAGGAACCTGACAGATACAGAGACTCAGTTTGATGTGGTCAATATCATGTGCTAGATCAGGGTTAAGTGAGATTTCATTAGGTGTTTTTACCTTGAGGGTAATTTACCACTAGTCACCAAAAGCACCTGTTGCCATTTTTGCAAAACAAGTAGAAAGTGATCATCTGAGCTAGTTGAGGTCCTGTTGTGTGGTTACCTTGGGCTTCTCTGAATATCCTGGTCTGTTATTTTTGAGAGTGAGTTTGTGTTTTCCTGCAGACTGGACCTGGTGATGTGAACACGTGGAAGCCTGAATTGGGGATTGGAATTCCTGCTGTAGGGGATTCATCACTCCTTATAGTGTAGTTACAGCACACTCTTAGCTGTTCTGTTCTGATACAGGCTTAGGGTTGTCTGGCTCAATGTCTGTTTCAAGTGACATTAAAGTAACATCAGTTGCAGTGAATTCATTGTTCTTGTCTGATTCTGCAACTGCTGCCTTCTGTTCAGTATATAGCTGTTTAGTCTCCAAAGGAGAATGACCTGAAATATACAGGTGGTGGTGTGTATTCCTCCCTCCATGCACACACATCCCACTTGATGTATTATCTCCTCTGGATGGCTGGGATGAGATGAGTTCCTTCTGCTTGGTTTGGAAGTCTGCAAACAGTTCATGATTTGGTAATGGCTCCCTACCACTGGATTTTATTTTTTTGGGGCATTTCAACAGAGACAGCCTAACAGGTGTTAAGAAATGATGCAAGAATAATCCCTTTTTGTTTGTTTTTGTGATGATTATAGGCCTAGCTATTTCTTTGATCCTTTTTCTAGTCTGAATGCTCTGCCCTGCAAAGCCTTGACCTTATGCCTTTTTGCTTGAGAGGCACAATCACCTGACTGTCCTGCTGTCAGATCCAGTCTTGCACTATCGTATTCTCTGGATTAATTCTGCTTATCCTAGCAGAGCTATTGCAAACCTGCATTTCTTCCGTTTGGGAGCTGTGTACAGTGCCTCTGAGTAGCTTTTGTATAGATTAAGTAGTCTTTCAGTAGGAGCAAAATGCTATGGGAAAGGAAGGAAGCATGCATCCATGGCAGTTTGCCAGACTCTCTCCTAAGACCTCAGGTTTCAGAATCTGTTTTGATCCTTGTTGTCTTTCTTGATACTTTTAATTGTCTTGAGTGCTGCTGTTCTATATTTCTGAGGCTGACTAAACTGGTAAGAGATTTTTTTTCAGCAGGAAGTTTGGAAGACTTGAGGCTTTAATATTCCTTTACCTATATTACTTTTCTCCCTTGCTTTTTGTATGCCCTGGTTGTCTTTCTACTGAGAGTAAATGTATAGATTCATGTATTATAGTGCATTGGAGTCCACTTGGTATGAATGCAGAAGCTGACACCAGTAACTCCTGAATTAGGAATAGGACATGTAAAGTGAAGGTTGGTTATAGCACAATCCCGTTGTGGCAATTGTGACTTCTGAAGGAGTTCACTGTTCTGTGATTGTAGTGCTGCTTGTTTCTTTCCCCAAAGCAAGGAACTTTCGTTCCTTCTGGAACAATTTTGAATTTAAATATATTTCAGGATTTTTTTGAGGACACATTTATGATGATTTTGTGATGGGTTGATTCTTCTTTTTATTGGAAAGAAATTAAATATATTTCCATTTATAGGTAAATCCTCTGAATGAAACTCTACTACCTGTGCTCCTGTTTTAGTTTGAACCTGATCGGCAGCCAAATACCACGCAGCTGCTCGCCTACCCTCCCCCACCTGGGAATGAGGGAGGGAATCGGAGGCATATAGGGAGACTCACAGGTTGAGATAAAAACAGTTTAATAATGGTAATAAAATAAAACAGTGACAATAATAGAAGGTATAAATAGGCAATGCACAATGCAATTGCTCAGCACTTGCTGACCAATACCCAGCCCATTCCTGGCTAGTGATCCCAAAATACCAAGATACCTCAATTGCAATCCTGGAAGCAAGAGAGAACCCGTTCCTGGCCACCCCTCCTCTATATACTGAGCAGGACGTTACATGATATGGAATATTTCATTGCCCAATTTGGGTCTGGTGCTCTGGCTGTGTTCCCTCCCTGCTCCCTGTGCCCTGGCGCACGGGCAGGAGATGGGGAGTTGGGGAGTCCTTGAAATCTGAGCAACAAATGAAAACATCAGTGTGCTATCAGTGTTCTTCTCATACCAAACCCCTTACTGAATCTAAAACACAGCACTATTCTAGCAACCAAGAAGAAATATTAATTCTATTCCAGCCCATACCAGGATAGCTCCCCACAATTTAAGTTTTTTTCCTAGGTACTACAAATTTGACAGATTATACTCTGCCTGACTCAGTTTCTTATCTGTTCTATATGACTTCATGCTCAGTTAGAAGATCTGTCTGACCATTGTGACTCTTAATCCCTCTGAAGCTATGTTATACTTCTCTCTTTGCTGCAGGCAAAATTTATTCTTTCTGTAAGTCTAGCCACTAATTTTGAATGTTTTCAATTGAATGCACTGGGTGTTTTTTTTGTAATTCTACTTCAGTGAAGATAGTGTCAGTGATTTGATATGCCTTATTAAATGTGTTACAACTTCATAAAGTTAATTATACAGAAGAGTGCTCTTTTAATGTTTTGTTTATTTCTGATGTACGTTTTTCTTAACTTTCTTCAGAATTGTGTGCAAGAGATGTGTAATTATAGATTTAATAATTTAATGCAGCAATTAAAAATGGAGAAGAAATTAAACAACTTTTTAGACAGAATACTACAAAATAAAAATTAAAGTGAGATAAAAACCAATGATTTGTGTTATGTTATACACACAAAATAATCTCACCCAAAAGTACATATGTAGTTTGTAGGTTCTATGAAACCTTCAAGCTACTGTTCACATACATGTACAGCTCTTCTTTTTAAAAAACAAAATCAAAACTCTGAAAATAAAATAAATATCCAATACAATAAATACTAATTTGCTCTTATCTAGTAGGGATAAAGTTGACTAAAATTTTTGTACCTTTGTCTTAAACAGAATGTTGGCTTTGAAAGCTCAGGGAAGAAGCAGCAGGGAAAAAACAGTAACACAGTGGTAAGTAATTTATTTTTCTTTCCTCTTGACCAACTGCACAGTATATCAAAAAAGAAAACCTCTTCTTTATTTGAATGTTATAATAATCACCTCCAAAGAACTTGAATTTTATTCTGTATCTCTCATGTTATTCTGAAGGCAATTTAAGTGGTAAGAGCCAAGTGAATGATATGTGTTTACATTAATTGTGTGCATATACAGAAGGGGGAGTATGTAGGAAACTAAGTTTCAGGAAAATAATTCTGTTTTAAAGCTCAGTGATCATTATTAAATGTTTTGGCTTGTGGAGCTTTATTGGTTTATACTGCTTTCTTTAATTTTTTTTAGTTGTTAAAGATAAGCATATTTTTGAAAAGCTTGGATAAAAGAGGCTTGAAAAAAAATGCTTTGAATGCTTATTGGGCCTCTTACTGTCTTTCTTTCTGGTTTGCTGGTCTAAAGCCAAGGCAAATATCACATCATATCATATCATTTCTCGTTTACTGGTATATTAACATTCTTTAGCTAGAGAGCATACTTAAGAACATGAAAAGTACTAAGAAGCTAAATGAAGTTCAATTTTCTGTTCAGAGCTCTATGGAAAAGCAACACATGTTCAGAATCAGCTTTTTTTTTAACTAAATGATGCCAGTGCAGATGGCACTAAGTTGCTTTTGACTCGTATTGTGAGGATTTTTAGAGACAAGTATTTCTCATGAATAAAAAGAATGCCCAATAGAATATTTTGCTTTCAGAACTTCTCTATGAATTTCTGTTGAAGAGTTGTTATTGTGTACCCCCCTGTGAAAAAAACACCAACGGCACATAACAGTAGCTTCCATCTGCTCTAATTTTATTAATAGTGCTGCTCAGACTGTGGAATTGCTAATAAATATTGACACTTCGGTGACTGTAATTTTGAGACTTGCTATAAAAATATAAGTTTAAAACATATAAAATTTTCTGCATATTTTATCTGGCATTGCCACAAACAACACATACTTCAGAAGGCAGAAGCACGTGCACATGCTCATGTTTTCCAGTCTTTTGTGTTGTCTACAAGGTTGTAGGCTTTGTGTGCTTTGGCATTCTCAGCTGAGCTAAGAAATTTTGCTGTTGCTGCACTGCTTCAGCTGTGCTTACTGCTCCATAAGGTTTGTTGCTTCCTATGGGCAAGTGACCAGCAATGCCTCTTCCCTTAACTTCCTTTATGCTGGTTCATCTGACTATATTGTTATAACTGGAGGAATTAAGACAGTGCCTCTTCCTTTCTGCTTGAATAGATGTTGAGAATATGAGATACACAGCATTTACTCATATAGTAGATCAAGACATAATCCCTCAAAAGACTAAACATGAAGCATAAGCAGTTTAATATGGTTTTATACCTCTTCCAGAGGCTTACCATCTCTTGTTCTGGTTGCTTTGTGTATTTAATTTTCATTGTTTTCTTTGTTAGGAACTGGTCTTGTTTGTTTCCATGGATCTTTTTCACAGCAACAATGAAAGAAAATGGAGCTATTTAATGTAGAAATTAGTGGATTCTGAAAGCAAAGCTGTTCTGAAGTATCTTGGTACAGCTAGCTGTCCCAAATAGCTGTGATTGCTAACTGTACAGTAGCTGTGGTTACTTCTACTGCGTGGGGGCTTTTTTTGTTTGTTTGTTTATGTTGTTGGTTTTTTTTGTTGTTTTTTTTTTTTTTTCCTTAAAGAACATGGTGGCTAGTGAGGGGTAGAGTTCACTTCAGTATCCTACTGGGATAAATATTTAGTGTTTCTGGCTATGTATTAACTTAAAAGTGACAAACATGAAAACCCAAACATGTCAGTTCCATAATGTAAAGGAATTCTTCAGCCATTTGAAAGTATCAGTGTTGAAATACTGAAATATCAATGCTGTGGCTTTTAAAAAAAGCTCAGTGCTTTGAATAGTCCATGGAGGTTTGAGTGTCTCCTGCAGTTTCCTTTGAACTTCAGTTCGTCTTAGTAGATATCCTTGAATTTATGTGGCTTTTTTTGATCTGGGGAGGAGAACTGGGTGAGACTCAAGCGCAGTAGTTTTAAAAATCAGTGTATTCCTCTTAATGTTTTCTTAGTAACACTACAAATATGTACCCAAAGAATATGCAATCAAGTCAAACATCAGAAGTGAAAATCAGATCTAGTGCTAATCTCAGCAGCATTGCTGATAGTATACAATTAGAGACCATTCTTCAGATGAAATGTTATAACGGCACTAACTTGGATAGATTGTCTGTCCAGATGGAAGTCAGTTTCTAGGATTGCCTCAGAAAAAGAGCAAAAGGAAATATGTGAGAACTAAGTTGCAACTACCTGGGCTGTGGTTGTGTAGTGACAGATGGGGAGTGTGTGTGTGTGTGTATAAGTGTTACTGTGTAGTTATTATGTAGTGTTAATAGGAAAAGTCAATATAAAAATAGAAGCAAAACTACAATTGTTTGGATATTTGAACATTTTTAAATTTATTTTTTACTGTAAAATTAATCTGTAATTTTTCTCATGTTCTTTTTTTTTTTTTTTTTTTTTTGCTAAGGATGTTTCTATAACGGATCTTTCCTTAAATTACAGATTGGTACTCTGATAAATCTGAGCCTTACTGATGCCTTGGTCTAGGATTATAAGGATATTGAATATTACTGCATTTCAGTTAAAGATTATACTTGGAGTATTTTATTATGTAGGTATTTGCCAAGAAGTTTTTTGCTTCTTCTCTCAGTTTAAAAATAATACTTTTGTTGCTTTGTTTTCACAAAGTCAGTCTAGTTTGGTCATTGTTAAGATTTTGGCATAAGGCCAAGTACTAACTGCTTTGCTGTATTGCTGCTTTTTTACAGTTACAGAAATTAATAGAAATAAATATTCCAAAGATTTCTTTTTATATACTTTGGGTGGGTTTTACTTGTCATAAAAATTCTTCAGGTTTGTTTTAGCAGAGGCAGTTTAGCTAAATTTCAAAGCTGGAAAATAATTGTTGCAACAAATATCTGGTTAGATGGTCTCTAGTTTCAATAAAGAGGGAGAATGCGGCTGTTTAACCAAGATGTTATTGATACTATCAACACCACTACAACTAAATAGAGATTTTATAAAATAGTTTGATGAAGAACTCAGATCTTAATTGTGTAGAGGATTTCTAGGTATTTTAAATCAAAACAAAATAGAAATAGTAAATTGAAATCTGGTTAGAATTTAACGTCATAGAATACAAGATATTGATAATTTAAGCAAACGTCTCCAGAATTCACACGTGGCATTGTTCTTCTCAGAGTTACCTGAAATTATCTTGCTGCCCTGGCCCATGGAAGTGGGTAGGTGTTTTTGTTTCTCTGAGGTTTTTTGGGTTTTGTTTTTGTTGTGGTTTGAGCCTGGTCAGCAGCCAAACACCATACAGCTGCTCACTCCTCCCTTCTCTTCCGGCAGTGAGAAGGGAAAAATGAGCCAGGCTTGGGAATTGAGATAGGACCGTGAGGGGCAAATCACCCATTAGGGTCATGGGCAAAAGGCAGACTCTTTAGGGGAAGAAAAAAAAACCCATAGATTTATTACAGACACTAACAACAACACATAACAGAGTAGGACAGTGAGAAGCATTGCCACATCTTGAGAACACCTTCCCCCCACCCCTCCCTTCTTCCCGGGCTCAGCTCTGCTCCCGATGTCTCTACCTCCTCCCCCAGTGGCGCAGGGGCAGGGAATGGGGGGTGCAGTCAGCGCTGCCGCTTCTCCATCTTCAGTGGGGGGAGCTTCTGGAACTTGTTCCCCCTGCTGCAGCGTGGTTCTCCTCTCACAGGAGACAGTTCTCCACAAACTTTCTGTGACATGAGTCCCTCCCATGGGCCGCAGCATTCCCCACACTGCTCTGTCGTGGGTCACCAACTTTCTTCAACTGGATTCCCTCCCACAGCTGCAGCCCTTCCCGAGCTGCTCCAGTGTGGGACTCCCCCACATGCTGCAATCCTCCCAGCGCTGAACTACAACAGCAGGGGCTACCTTCTCCCATAAGACCCCGGCCTTCTTTGGGTACAGACACCTTGATTATCCAGGCAAAACACCTCACAGGCCATAAATCAGTGTCTGCTCCATCGCAGATCTTCATGGGTGTTGAGGGGGGGCCGCCCTGCCGTCTCACCACAGGATACAGGGGGGTCTCTGCTCCGGCACACCTCCCCCCTCCTTTCTTCCTCCGTTCCTCCACTGACCTTGGTGCTCATCCAGCTGCCACAACTCCTCCTTATTATGTCCCTTCTTAAATAAGTTATCGCAGAGGCACAGCTGATTGGCTCAGTTTTTGTGCAGAGGTGGGGCCAACTTGGAGCTGGGGGAGCTTTGAGAAGCTTCTCAGAGGAGGCCACCTCTTTAGCCCTCTCCCCTGCTACCAAAATACCCCATCACTCACTCAAACCCAGGACGGTTTTTTAAATATATAGAAGCACTGGTAGCTTGGAAAGTAATTAACCTGAAGAGAAGCTTTGAGTTGTGTTACCAGCTTTGAGTTTTTGTATTTCTGCAAGATAGAAGTAGAGTATCACTGGTTTTCTTATGTCCTAGCAGCTGTTGAATCAGTAGAAGGAAAACTGATTTCTGTTCTCTCTGTTCCCTTCATTTTCTCAAAAAATGTAGCAAGAATCCTTCATATTTTTGCATTTAACAATTGGTAGTTATTTGCTGTATTCACTAATGTGTTCCTCCTCCTGTTGTTACCATTCACCATTGTTGCTTCATGAGTAGTGCCTTTTATTTCTTTCACTGTGAATGCTGTATGTGAGCAAGTACAGCGTGTTTTTTGGTGTTCCTTTCCTGCATGAGGACATGCAGCCATGGATGCAGTTGAGCATTGTTTTCTTATCGCGAGTGGGGAGGCTCAGACTATAGCTTCACATTAAAATGGTGAAATGGTTCCAAAATCCCCTTTATTACTTACCCCTTGTTCCATCCCCCAGAGTTTAGCACTGCAGTTCATTGTTATGTACTGACCCGAGTGTTTGCAAATCTCATTCAGT